ACCTAAATGTGAGACAGGAATCCATCAAAATCCTTGAGGAGAACATAGGCAGCAACCTCTTCCACCTTGGCTGCAGCAACTTCTTTCAAGACACGTCTCTAAAAGCAAGGGAAACAAAAGCAAAAATGAACTATTGGGGTTTCATCAAGATAAAAAGCTTTTTTTTTTTTAAAGATTTTATTTATTTATTCATGAGAGACAGAGGGAGAGAGAGAGGGGGAGAGAGAGAGAGAGAGAGAGAAGCAGAGGGAGAAGCAGGCTCCCAAGGAGCAGGGAGCCTGATGCGGGACTCGATCCCAGGACCCTGGGATCATGACCTGAGCCGGAGGCAGACGCTTAACCATCTGAGCCACCCAGGCGCCCTTTGCAGAGCAAAGGAAACAGTTGACAAAACCAAAAGACAACCGACAGAATGGGAGAGGATATTTGCAAATGACATATCAGATAAAAGGCTGGTATCCAAGATCTATAAAGATCTTCTCAAACTCAACACCCAAAAACAAATATTCCAGTCAAGAAATGAGCAGAAGACATGAACAGACACTTTTCCAAAGAAGACATACAAATGGCTAACAGACACATGAAAAAATGTTCAACAACATTAGCCATCAGGGAAATTCAAATCAAAACCACAATGAGATACCACCTCACACCAGTCAGAATGGCTAAAATGAACAAGTCAGGATGCTGGCAAGGACATGGAGAAGGGGGAACCCTCCTACACTGTTGGTGGGAATGCAAGCTGGTGCAGCCACTCTGGAAAACAGTATGGAGGTTCCTCAAAAAGTTGAAAATAGAGCTCCCATACGATCCAGCAATTGCACTACTGGGTATTTACCCCAAAGATACAAATGTAGGGATCCGAAGGAGTACGTGCACCCCGGTGTTTATAGCAGCAATGTCCACAATAGCCAAACTATGGAAAGAGCCAAGATGTCCATCGACAGATGAATGGATAAAGATGTGGTATATATACAATGGAATATTATGCAGCCATCAAAAAATGAAATCTTGCCATTTGCAACGATGTGGATGGAACTAGAGGTATTATGCTAAGCAAAATAAGTCAATCAGAGAGAGACAATTATCATATGATTTCATTCATGCGAAATTGAAGAATCAAAACAGGATCATAGAGGAAAGGAGGGAAAAATAAAACAAGACAAAATCAGAGAGGGAGACAAACCATAAGAGACTCTTAAATCTAGGAAACAAACTGAGGGTTGCTGGAGGGGAGGTGGGTGGGGGGATGGGGTAACTGGGTGATGTGCATTAAGAAGGGCATGTGATGTAATGATCACTGGGTGTTGTATAAGACTGATGAATCACTGACCTCTACCTCTGAAACTAATAATACACTATATGTTGATTAATTGAATTTAAATAAAAAAAGGAAATTAAAAAAAACCAATCAATTTTAACAAAGCATCAAAAAAAATGACTGGGTCTAAACCAAAATTCATCGCAGTCATTGCTTGCTTTAGGATTCTCTGCTATGTGATGGTTGCATTAAATTCTGATTTAACGATGATCATGTATTGGCTACTCTGGGTAGCCTGGTATCTGGGAGTTGGGGTGAATTTGGAGTAAAATCCTGATCATCTGGAGGGATGCCATGTGGCTCATGAGTGCTTTTCACCAAGGTACATGGTAGGATTTCACTTCCTACCCCCACTGTTGGTGTAGGGGAGGTTCACGTGACATTTTACTGACCAGTAAGTTATGAGTGGAAATAGCAGGGCCTCTTCTAGGCTGGGCACTTAATGGCCAGTACGAGGCCCTCCTAGGCCTCCTCTCCCTTTGGCACAGCCATGGGGACACTGGCGCTGCTCTCTGAAGGCTGGTTCCAGAGCGACTGGTCAGGGATATGGGGCATGGGTGAGAAATGGCCTCACATCGTTCAAGCGTCTGAGACCCAAGAGTTGCTTGTTACTGCAGCATAACCCAGCTTATCCTGACTGATGTGCTAGGCAGTAAACATGATGTGTCACATGCACGGGCTGACCTGGGAAAAAGAAATGCCTTCCTTTCCACGAGGTAGGAGGGAACCACTTTAGGTTCTGCCAAATTTCAGCTTGTGGTCCAGTGTGGGGCCCAACTTGTGGCCCAACTCAGAGGAAATTCTGTTTAGACCTGAGTGTGGTCTCAAGGCCAGACTCCCAGCAGAGTGGGACTTCTTTAACATTAAAGAGCCTGGCATTTCCCTTAACTGGCAACTCTACATTCCACTGCCCCATCTTCCCGTCACCCGTGCCAACACAGCGACTCCCTCAGGACCCACTGATACCTTCCCACAGGACACCTGCAACCCCAGAAACCTTGTCCTACACCCATAAAGGGGCACTCTAGACCTCGGACATGCTGGGGCTTCTGAAGGGCTGACTGTCTATCTGAGGTCCCCTGGGGGGGGCGGAGTTTTGGTGGAGTGGGAGGGGTGTGTGTGTCCTGAGCAGGTGTGCATTCTCAAACACCGGTGTGGTTGAAAATCAAGTAAAGCCGGTTTGCTGGACTATCAGATGCATTCCCTCCCTGCAGGGTACCCCACATTTTCAATGTGCTTGTATCTGGAATGAAATATTTAGCCAAACACTGATGCATAGTTTGGATGTATTGTTTCCTGCTAAATTTCAGGATACAGTACAATGTATTTACATGAGCGAAATAATGTTTTCTCCTGCAAAACCACTTTAAAATCACTTTCAATAAGCATATAATGAAAAGTGTTTGATTTTTTTCTTGAGCAACCGTAGCTAATAAATCTGATTCTGGAACCAAATTGTCTGGGCTTGAATCCCGGATCCAGGCTTTGCCATCAATGTGACTTTGGGCATGGCATTGACCCTCTTGGTGACTCAGTTTCCACTGTTGTAGAATTAGACAATACCAGCTTACATGGTAATGTGGTTGCTGTCAGTCTTAATCCATTAACAGCTGTAAGGACCCAGAATGGTGCCTGGCTACATCTTACTGAGCTGTGTGAGTGTTGGCTTTTTGTATTATTATTCTCAAAGCTATCCTTGTAAAATTGGGAAGCATCTTAGAACCTGGCATTCTATAAACAGAAGAATACAGTATTTCCTAAGAAGGGACATGGGATTGGCTATTTATCAAAAACAGACCAGTGTTTATCAAACTAGCTGCATCATAAGACTCTCCTGATGAGTAAAAACAGAATCCCCAGGCTCCTCTCAGAACAAGTGCTTTACATGGTAAACACTCTGGAGATAGCTGGCCACGAGGCCCAGCGGCTGGCTCCTTCCTGCTGGTGGTCCTCTGACTTTCTTGAGACAAAAGTCCCGAGAAAGAAGAGACAGTTTTGATGAGGACGAGGAGAAATGGGTATTTTCGCTTTCACCAGAATCCACCAGGAGGCACAAAACATCCAAGCTGGGGAGGCTGGCCTGCCTGAGGTCACAAAATGTGTGTTGGAGAAGAGAATAGCAGACCAAGAGTCAGAAGACCCTAATGTCCCCTGACACACAGATACAAGACAAACACAAACACACAAATGCACACACACACAGACATAAGGGCACACACGTACGTAGCCAGAGCTCCCTGAAGCCCAAGGTCCTTGTCATATTCATCTCTGTATATTGGGGACCCAGTACAAAGTTAGCTCTTAATAAATGTTCTATCATTTATTTGTTCAACAAATATTTACCAAGCACCAACTAAGTGTCAAGTGCTGTTTTCAAGCACCGGAATCCAGCGAGAAGCAGACAGACAGAAAGCCCTGCCTGGGGGTGCTCACGGCAACCACTCTGTGGGGCTTGTGGAGGTCTTTCCCCATCATGACCCAGCTGCCTCCTCTATAAATGCCTGTGTGGGGCTAGATCCATGGCCGGGCGGGGGGGGGGGCAACCAGGTATGCTCTCCCCTGAGGTCCGAGCACCGTGACCTGGAGGACCTGACGCCCAGGGGTCTGAGCCTTCTTCCTGTCCCGGTGGGTTGCCAGGTTCAGTCTGGTGGGACCCCTAGGTCCCGTTGAATCCCAGGCTCCCTGTCCACCCGTCTTTGAACTCAGCTCTTCTTCCCTCTCAGTTCCACCGCAGGCATGCTGGGGACTGAGGTGGCGGGGGGGGGGGGGGGGGGGGGGGGGGGGGGGGGGGGGGGGGGGGGGGGGGGGGGGAAGGAAGCCGGGAGTTGATTTAGTTTGGCGTAAGTAAATAGGGAGACCACGGAGATGGCTCTGATCCTGCTGTCCGCCCTCCTCCCCACAAAGGCACCCTCCCACCCCAGGCCCATTAATGCAGACAACGCGGCCTTGACCAGGCACTCCCCAAGGCCCCGCTTCCTCGGGTCAAGTTTCGGGTTTATTCGGAGCCAGGGGAGGGGGCATGGCAAGGAGGGTCCGCGCGGCAGCCGCCGCCCCCACCGCGTCCGCCCTGATGCCCTTGGTCTGGGTCTCCAGAGCGCGCGGCCCCGCCCCGCCCGCCAGGCCCGCCGGGCTCGGGGCAGCCGGAGCTCGCCCCGGACCCTGCGCCCCGCGAGGGGGGCGGGGGCGGGTCCCGGCGGGGGGCGGGCGCGGAGGCCCCGCGTGCATGCTGATGAGCTGGGCGGCCGCGTCACTCCGCACCGGCGCCGTGGCTGCGGGGCGGGCAGGAGCCGCACGGCCGCCGGAGCGCCCGCCCGGCCCGCGCCTCCCTCGCCTCTCCCTCCCGCAGGCCCGCCCGCCGCCCCCCGGGACGGGGCCGCACCCCTCTGCGGAGGATGCCGGCTGCCCCCTGCGCGCGCGGCCCCGGGCAGCCCCTGCGCGCGGGGACCCCGGGCGGCGGCGGCCGAGCGCGCTGAGCCGGCGCGGGTGGTGCTGAAGGGACAGCTCCCGGGCGCAAGCGGCGGAGCGCTGTCAGCCCGCAGCCCTCGGCCCCCAGCCCGCAGCCCCCGGCCCCAAGCTCCCCAGGCTACAGCCCCCGGGCCCCGCCCGCAGCCCCCCTGCCGCAGCCCCGTGCCCGCAGCCCCCGGGCCCCACCCCCGCCCGCGCCCTTCCCCCACCCCGCCCGCAGCCCCCGCGGCCCCGCGGTCAGCCGGGCTGGCTCATGGTCCCCGAAGCGGCGGGCCGGGCGGAGGCTCCTGCGGCCGCTGGGCCCACGGGGATGCCCCGCGGGTGAGGCAGCCCCCAGCTTTCAGCCGCGTTCATGGCGGTGGCCAGGAAGATCAAAACTTTGCTGACGGTCAACATCCTGGTGTTCGTGGGCATCATCCTCTTCTCCGTGTACTGCCGCCTGCAGGACCGCTCCGAGGGGCTGGTGCAGATCGTGCGCAGCGCCGACCGCCGCGTGCGGAGCCGGCACGCCAAGGTGGGCGCGCTGGTGGACCGCGACGCCATCCTGCAGCGCCTGGACCACCTGGAGGAGGTGGTCTACAACCAGCTGAATGGTGAGCCGAGGCAGCGTCCCGCTGGGAACAAAGGGGCTGGACAGGGGGGCCGGCACACAGCGCTCGGGGACACGGAACCCTGGTGGACCCCAGGGCCTGATGGCCAACAGGGGCTGGGATCAAACTCCTTCTGTGTTACTTCGGGTGGAGACTGGGTAGGAGGCAGATAAGAAAGAGAAGGGGTCCCTTTAACAGAGAGCATGGTCCTGGATGACCACTCGTTCGTTCACTCCCCCGGTGGACACTTGAGAACCAACCCCCCAACCACACATGCAATGTCTCCGACTTATTCCCTGAGAGAACTTGAAAGAACTTCTCAAGAGGGTCTAGGACTTGTTTTAAGATCAGGCAGTGCCCAGGTCTGAGAGTGAGGGGGCACATTCTGCTTTTCTAGGAGCTGTGGGGGTGGGGGTCTTCTCCTGGAGTCACTCCTCTCTCTCCTGGAAGATGTGGAGACAGAGGGAGGGCAGTGCTGCCCTTCAGAGGTTGCTGATGTGGTGTCTTGAGTGCTGGTGGGGAAAGGTGCCTCTTTGGGACCCCTCGGCCTGTTCAGCCTCCCGTCCTGGGGATGCTCAGGGCTCCCTCCAGAAAGTGTTGCTGTGGGTGAGTGCGAGGCCAGGAGCCGGTGACTCCTGGACAGATTGAGTCAGGGGTCCAGCACGGGCTTGGCAGGTGTTAACCCCACAGAGGGACCTGGGCTGTGGTGCATGGGAGCCCACGGGCTCCTCAGGAGCTTCCACAGCAAGCCCGGCTCCTGGGGATGGGCTTCTTGTTTCTTCCCCGAAGGTGTGGGTCCCTCGCAAGGGTCAGGGCTGGTGGCTGCAGCTGGGAGGAACGGGTATTTTTCCACTTTGGGATGCAGCAGACGGAATAAAGTGCCTGCTGCTTCCTGGGCTCTCTCTGTGCCGAGGTACAAGGAGGAAGGAGAAAAGTTTGTGTGTTTACCTCATTAGTGGGCTTTTTCCTTCTGTTCTGTGCTATTCTGGTTTCTGCATTGGCAGCCCCAGCAAAGCTCCTCAGGAAGGAAGCATCAGTAACAGGCTCTGGGCGGAGGTGTCTGGGAGCTGGACTGCACTGTGTGTGTGTGGGGGGTCTGCGTGCTCCCTGCTGGTATGGGGGTCTCCTTGGGGCTTCCTGCGGGAGGAAGCAGCAGCTTGAGACCCAGAGGCGTGGTGACACCGTGGATGTGGGCACTGTCCACAGCCTTATTCCCTGTCTGGGAGGGAGCAGAGCACCTTCTGACTCCCCAGGCGCCCCTCGCCCCCACCAAGCTCCTGTCCCCTCCAGACGTGCCTTTCCTGAGTGAGCTCTGTGGCTTTTCTGATCTGTCCTGTGCAGCCGAAGCCACGAGGGGAGGAAAAGTTTAGTCCAACTGCCACTTGGCCGGGTGATTCGTCTCTTGGAAGCCGTGTGCCCCGGTAATAGCACCTAGCTTTATTGAAGTGTATTTGCCAGGGTGTTATGGTCTGTTTTATGGGAAGAACCAGAGGGTTATATAAAAACATCGGCAGCACATCGGATTGTGTAACATCCTGATGGCCGGCTCAGCGCCTTGAGCTGCAACTCACCTCACCCTTCCAGGTGAGAGGGAGCCAGGCTTCTTGGTGGCAGAGCAGGCCAGGACCTCTGATGCACTGTCCTGACACTAGCAGGACATAGGGAAGGGTTTCAGGAGAACCAGTGTCAGCCCCTTGCCCAGCCGGCCTCTCCCCTTCCTTCACCCACCTTTTTTTCCAAGTGTGTCTCTGTCTCTCTTCCCCATTCCTCTCCTCTGTCTCTCTGTATGTCCCTGTCTCTCTGTCTCTCTCTGTGTCTCGGCCTCTGTCTGTCTCTCCCTCCCTCCCTCCTCCTCCCCGCTCCTCTCGGATGAGGGTCCTGCTCCCCACTTCTAGACCGTGTACCCAGCACCGTGTCCCACCCAGGAGTCACTCGTGTTTGCTCCTGGAAATGAGAGCCAGTCTCTCCCGCACCTCGGCTTGGTCCCTAAGGAGGGACAAGACAGGAGTGAGTGGACATTCGTTCACAAGGAGCCGTTTGAAAGCAGTGCTGAGCCCTCCAGCCCAGTGCGGGCTTCCGTGTGGCAGGGCGCTGGAGGGCAGGAGCGCTTCCCATGACCGCCTGTCCCCGGGGTCTCCGCCAAGTGCGGAAAGGAGGGAAGACATCCAAACGAAGGGAAACGTCACTGATATTTCCTCGGCCTTGAGTGCTTCCTGGAAATGTCTCTCCTGGCTTACAGGATCTGGGGGGAGGCAGGGTGTCCGGAAGCAGGACGCTCTTCCCACACCCCCTCTTCGGCCAGTCCAGTGCCCTTTCTCTGCCACGCCTGACTGACCTCAGCAAAGACCTAGTGAATGGTGTGTGTAGATCCAGAGTCACAGGACCTGGGAGAAGATATTCTTTAAGGAAATGCGATATAGTCACATCCTGTATGTACATGAGAGTTTGTTTCTAAATTCGGTGCTCAAGGCAAGGAAAAAATGTTTATAGCCAGAAATCATCCTTCTGAATATGTTAAGTCGCCCATAAAGTACAGCCTCCATGGTCTCGTCTGTCTGTCTGTCTGTGTGTGTGTGTGGCTGGCGCAGGGCGTCTCGTGAGCGCAGATTTGAGAGCCTCTAGCTCTGTGAGAAGAACAGGGAGGGAAGCGTCCCCATTTGGCGGCCTGGTCTGCAAGCCCTCTGCCCTTAGGAACGCAGCCAGTCCTGGGGGGGGGGAGGGCGGCTGAGAACTCTGCGTTCGCTTCTCTTTCAGAGCTAAGCCACGGCCAGGCAAAGCGTGTGGCTCCGTGGTTCTGCCCCTGTGCTGGCGGGCGTTACACAGGTGCGGGCGTCACCTGCTAACAGGGCTCACGCGCGGCCAGGACGCGGTCTCCTCCCTGCAGAGGAGAACCTGGCCGCCACCTGGCCACCCTGCTCCTTTCGTCCCTGCAGACCCGTTCTTTAGGGGCCGCGGGTCTGAACGGCACGCGGCCGTGCATGGTGAGGTTTCCGTTGTGGGTGGCTGGCCACTGTAGAGGGAGGTACTTTCTAAAATTCAGAGTGCACTCACGTTAACCCCGCTACCTCGACTGACCCCTGCCCAAACCTGTGCCGTCAGAGGGCAAAGCCTGGGTCCGGTGTAAGGACAGCAAAGCCCAGAGCCCATGGGACAGCACGGCGTCCGGAGGCTGTGGAGTGAGTGAGCGGCGGCCGTGGCTAAAGGCAGCATTTACTTCACAGATGATCTGCATCTCTACAGTTGTCCAACGGTCAAGTTGAAATAACAGAGGGTCCAGTGGGTCCTAGGCCTCCCAGGGTGCGGGCAGCCCCCGCCAGCCACTTGCCCTCCCCTGGGAGAGAGGTGATTCCAACTCTGCTCCCTCTCGAGCTTCCGAAATCCGGGTGTGACTGGGCCATCTTTCCCGTATTTGTGCTCAACGCCCGCCCTGTGATTCATCTGAGGGTGGGGGTTTGTCTGCTTTGTGCGCAGCCCTAACACCCAGGGTCCTGGGCCGTACCGTGCATATTATTAGCACTCCGTAAATATTGGCTGAATGAGCAAGTGAGCGGATGTTTCTCTGAACAATTCATTGCTTTTGCTTACAGTGAATTTATTTAAAAAGAGAGCTGCAAATCAGCACCCACATCCGCAAGCAGGAGGTGACCAGAGTGGTGAAGACAAGATGTGGGTTCTGTTCAAGTCCAGCTGGGCGCTGCGGTCGCCCCGGGGCTCTGAGCCCAAGGCCGCTCTCTCTTTGTCCAAAGGGAGACTCTCAAGGGAAAGGCACCTGTAGGGATATATTGGCAGGAAACCCAGACTCTCCCATTGCAGAGATCAGGAGATCGAGATGAAAGGGAACGCTTCTCATGGTGGGAGTCAGTGTTATTCAACCCTGTGTCCTTCTTTTGCCAAAAATCCTGTCCGGCGTGTGGCCCCTTCCAGGACTGTGGCTCCTCCTCGGGAAGCCCAGTCTGTGGCAGACTGTGTCCCGAGCGGCCACCAGTCCCTGGAGGGGCGGGGGGTGGTCAGGCGCTAAGGGGTGCGTGTTCACAGCAGCAGGGTCCCCGATTTCTGAGCAGGAGGCCCAAATCCTACCGACAATCTGAGCGCGCTGAGTTTTCATAATGAAACCCTGGTTGAGCTGCAGAGAGGTGAGGCGGAGATGCCGGATTCTGACCCAACATTTGCTGCAGACAACGCGTGTTGATGTCCTGCCGTCTCCCACTGTGATGTGTGCTTTACTGATTGGCAGGCATCACGGCTGAGAAGCGGAATCCAGGAGGCTGTCCAGATATGGTCCGCACGCTGTGAACAGTGCACGGCGGGCTGGGAGCAGAAGCCGCGTGAGGACAGCGAGGGGGTCTCACGCCCCCGGTGCATACTGATTGCATCATAAAAGGAGGGGTAAATCAGACCCTGAGAGCCTGTGGGAGAGGGTGGCTGGGGTCTGAGAGCGCCCAAGGGTGCCTGGGGCCGCCAGACACCCCTCGCCCCCGTGGGGCACCTGCCCAGCGCACCTTCCCCTGGAGCCCCGCGTGTGGAGAAGGTGCTGGTTTCCGGAGAGAGGTTCCGGGCTTTTCTGTGCACAGAAGCAGGTCCATGTGGGAAATGCTCCAAGAGATTCCATGTGTTCGGGAGTGTGCGTTCCACCAGAGAGCTTTCCTGTTCGCTGGTTTTAGTCCCACCGCTGGCTTCCCGCTGGGTCCGGGGGCCTCTTGAGCTTGAGCTCACGGGTCCTCATCCCCCCGAATCTGCTTTGTGAGCCCCCCTCTCCTGCATGCTGGTCTCAGCGGGCGGCGGCTGGGAGGACAGCATGGTGTGTCTGCGAGTCCTCAAAGGTCCGGGCAGGTCTGTCTTCACCACGGCAGCGGCGGGTACTTGGCTGGCCTTCTGCCTCCGGGTCTGCGTCCCTTGCGTCTCTCCTGCACTGTGTTGATTTGCTACCGCAAGTGAGAAACTAGCACGTCCTCCTGGAGCCCAGCCTCTCGCCGACGCCGGGGCAGGGCTGCATGCCGTTTGGC